CCTCAATTTCTAAATAAAGAGGAACTACAGAGAAATATGAGAAGTGGCAAACTGAGAGAGGTCACATCCTCTCTTATGGGAAGTAGAAATCCCTATAAAATTGCTAATATAGTCAAAAGAATCAAGATTAAAGTTTAAGATGTTACCTTATAAAGCCAAAAAACCATCCCGATAAATATAAAATATAATAGCTTCAGAATGTCTTTAACACTCACCTCTTCTGGGGTGATAACACCTGTTTCCTTAAACTTTGATTCCTAAAGAAAGCAAAAATAACATATTATTTTTCACTTTCAAATTAAAAATGTTTGTGGGCAAGTATTTGTCTGGCACCCTTCCAGGCAACAGAGCACATACAAAAAAGAATCTATTACTGGTACCTGACCCCAAGGAATATACAAGTCTAATGAAGGAAACTGACATGAAAATGATTACAATTTGATCAGTGCTATAATAGAGCAAAGCTCTTTGGAAAAACATTAAGCCTTACAATGACTTTGTGAAATGACCAAATATCTTTATTTTACAGAACAGTAAAAATGTCTTAAAAATGCTTAGGGAAATTTTACTATTCAGCCAACATCTCCAACATCTCATTTCAATTGAGTAACACTAGAAAATCTAGAAGTCATAAATCATTTAATCCTTTCCCATTATTATCTCCAAGATATTGATACAATATTCTCTCCTCTAAAGCAAAGATGCTATTGGGGCGCCTGGGTGGCTCAGTCGTTAAGCATCTGCCTTCAGCTCCGTTCATGATCCCAGGGTCCTGGGATCGAGCCCTGCATCGGGCTCCCTGCTCAGCAGGAGGCCTGCTTCTCCTTCTCCCACTTCCCCTGCTTGTGCTCCTGCTCTATCATCTCTCCCTCTCTCTGCCAAATAAATAAAATCTTAAAAAAAAAATAAAGCAAAGATGCTATTTACCAAATGTTTCAAAATTTTAAGTTAAATGTTAAGATTTTGTAGTACAGTCTACAAAAATGAAAGGATTCACTGATGAACATCATTCATTAACAAGTATTCACTGAATAACCACTATGTGCCAGGCACTATTTGAAGTAAGGGATACAGGAGTAGATAAAATAGACCAAACTCAGCCTTGTCCTCATCAGGAGTTTAAACTCTAGTGGAGTGAAAAAGCCAAATGGTAATAAAAACCACAAGGAAAAAAATGAGGCAGCTAAGAAACTGGTCAGGGGTGGAGGGAGTGATGGCTACTTAAAATAGGATGGCGGAGCGCCTGCGTGGCTCAACTGGTTAGGTGGCCAGCTCTTGCTTTCTGCTCAGGTCATGATCTCAGGGTCCTGGGATGGCGTCCAGGGCATGGCAGGCTCCATGCTTGGGGTGGGGGGGAGGGGAGTCTGCTTGAGGATTCTCTCTCTTCTCCTCTCCATCTGTCCCTCCCTCTTCTTGCTCACACACGCACTCTCTAAAATAAATAATCTTAAAAAAAAAAAAAGGGGTGCCTGGGTGGCACAGTCAGTTAAGTGTCCAACTCTTGGTTTCGGCTCAGGTCTGATCTCAGGACCATGAAATCAAGCCCTGCATCTGGCTCCACGCTGGATGTGGAATCTGCTTGAGTTTCTTTCTCCCTCCTCCCCACCTCTCTCTCTAAAATTAAAAAAAAAAATCTAAAACAAATAAATAAATAAATAGGATGGTTAAGAAAACAAAGGTTTCACCGATAGGTGACTACTGAGCAAGACCTTAAAAAAATGAACAAGGCACAAGGCTGTAAAAGAGCATTTTAGGCAGATGGTGCACCGAGTACAAAAACCTGAGGCAAGAGAGTACTTCACCGAGTAACAAAGAGGTCAGACTAGCTCAAGTAAAAGTGAGCAAGGAACAAAGCTACATTGAGATAAGGGCCTCTACAAATCAAGTAGAGGCTTGAAGATCATTGTAAGGACTTTGGCTTTTACTGTACCATGACTTTTCTTAATTTCTACTTGCTAGGATAAGTCATTGTTTTCTTTCCAAAGGATTTAGTTTTTCCTTCTTATGTCTAGTAGGAAACTACAAGGATCCTCTCTGTAAACAGGGATGGGCAAGGAGAGGGTCAATAATTCTGCTTTCCTTATTACTGAAAATACATACTGACAAATATATACTGACAAGCTAACACTTTTCAGTTTGGAGAATAAGCAAAATGATTTCTGAAAACATAATTCTGTTATAAGTTCGATAAAATACAACTGGCCAATAAAACAGAAGTTTGTTTTTAAAGACTTTATTTATTTGACAGAGAGAGAGAGCACAAGCAGGGGGAGCAGCAGGCAGAGGGAGAGGGGGAAGACCACTGCCTGCTGAGCAGATAGCCAGACTCCAGGCCTGATCCCAGGATCCTGGGATCATGACCTGAGAGGAAGGCAGATCCTTAACCAACTGAGCCACCCAGGCGCCCCTGAAACATTAGTTTAATATTTAATTTGGGAACTTTTTTTAAAATATTTTTTTAAATGTTTTATTTATTTATTCATGAGAGTCAGAGAGAGAGAGAGAGAGAGAGAGAGAGAGGGGCAGAGGCAGAGAGAGAAGCAGGCTCCCTGCCCAGCAGGGAGCCCGATGCCTGAGGACTCGATCCCAGGACCTTGGGATCATGACCTGAGCCGAAGGCAGATGCTTAACCGACTGAGCCACCCAGGCGCCTCTGAAACATTAGTTTAATATTTATTTTGGGAACTTTTTTTTTTTAAATATTTTTTTCAATGTTTTATTTATTTATTCATGAGAGTGAGTGAGAGAGAGAAAGAGAGAGAGAGAGAGAGAGAGGGGCAGAGGCAAAGAGAGAAGCAGGCTCCCCGCCGAGCAGGGAGCCCGATGCAGGACTCGATCCCAGGACCCTGGGATCACGACCTGAGCCGAAGGCAGACGCTCAACCATCTGACCCACCCAGGCGCCCCGGGAACATTTTTTTTACTCTTTCTCTCCGAAACTAAAGAGTTTAACAATTGTGTATTATTTAAATGCTGCATATCTAGATAGACATGTTTCTGAGAAACGACATGCAAAAGAATCATTTGATTCAAACATCAAAATTATTTTCAAAGTTGACTAATATTAATTACAAAGAATTTCACAGTAAAAAATATATAGGCATAGCAAGAGTTGGAATTTTCATTTATAAACTTTTTTTTTGTTTTAAACTTGGCCCAAGAAGGTATCATTTTAAAATCAGTCTTAGAAATAAATATTAAAAAAAGTATATGACTAACATTTCCCTCTGTCATGGAAAGGGAGCAAAGTAATCCACTATACTTCTTAGCATACTAGAATAACTTCTTATAAAGAAGACCAACCATATCCAAGGATATTTCATCCCCACAATAAGATTTGTAAAATTTTCATTGAAAGCAAAATAAATAAAAGCACTTAAGCAAGAACTCCTTATTCTTTTATTCTCATTGCTCACTTATCAGAAAGGAAAAAGTTACAATGATAAAAAACTTATTAGACTTATAAAAACTTGTATGTACTTCTAGAAATTTATCTCTGAAAATTAAAGTCACTGTTAAAATAGCTAATCTGTTACAACTTTTACTTTAAAAACGCTGTATTATTGACAAAGCAAAAAAAAAGTAAATACAGTAGGATCAAGCTGCTTGTTATTATCAATGAAGTACAGGATTTACAAATAGCTTTAGGTTATTTTAAAAACTCGGAAAGTTTTGCCTGTTAGTTGGGTTCAACGATACTGACGGAGATAATGTTGCAATTCACCTTGTTCCTCTAAAATCTAACAAGAGTGGACCTCAGTCACAACTTACTATTTCAAGCTCCTAATTATAAAAGACTTTCTATGAAATTTGGAAGAAAATAGTGACATGTCATTTTACTACCACTGATTTCGTTTTTAAAAAGATAAGCAAAACTAAAAAGTTTGAAAGACTTCCAATGTTAAGATTTAACGTTCTCAAATCTACTTAGCTGCCGACCACCTTCCAACTTGACGTACCCAGACGAGCCGGGTTCTGACGGGTGGCGACAGCAATGCGCACACAGCGTCGCTCCAAGTTTACCTGAATTCAGAGCCCGAAAGCCCTAGAGAACAGCTCGGTAAGACCTCCGGTGGGGCTGCACCCTTTCCCGTGTCCCACCCTTACCACCTCCCTACACTTTTCCCCGCCGGAGAACACGGTGTTCCTCCCGGCGCCGGGTCCTCAATCCCTGCGGAGTTGAACGTGTACCTGACCAGACCCTGGCAAGCCCGGACTGGCTTACCTTGAGGACCGGGGTCAGGTACTCAGCCACTTCCAGTGCTTTTCCCTTCACCGTGTTAATCACATTCTGCATCCTGGGGCCGGAGAAGCGGCCGGCCCCTCCACGGGGCGGGAAGGACAGCCGGGGAAAGGACCGGAGTCAGAAAAAATCCCCGCTGCCGCCGACGCGCATCAGCACCCGGCCGGCGGCACCCGAGGGGACGGGACGGGACGGGACGCGACGGGACGGACCGGACGAGGGGGAGGGGCGGCCGGCGCCAATCGCGAGGGCAGGGCGCGCGCTGCTCGCCACCCAGGCAGTTCGCGGTGGACCGGGCCAAGGTGTCACCTGGCCGCGAGGGAGGGCGGTGGGGACGAGGGGAAAGTTAGGAGAGGCGGGTGCACGCGCACCCCTCGCCTTCTCGGAAGCTGTCTTCTCCCCCTTGCTTCACTCGCGCCCCTTCCGGCTTCCCCTTCTCTCTCTTGCCGTAGCTCCGCCGCCACCTGGGCCTCACGTGACTCAAGGCTCTCCCGACACGTGATGCGAGAAAGGGCGCGCTGGGGCGGGCTCAGGGCGCTTCTTCCCTCCTTCCGGAAACGTAACACTGAACGCGCCTGCGCAATGGGTACCAGGTCGGCTCTTTCCCTGTTGCGACGTTATTGTGCTTTTTGTTCCGGAACAGGAGGCTCCGGGGCAGAAGCTTTTTAGCCTTTCTTTCCTTCCCATAGCTTCCCCAACTATGAACCCTAAAAGTTACTGCTGCTTCTGCGGACTTACACAGTTACTGCATCAGCTCTAGGATGTGCGCTGCTCCACTAAAAACCCTTCGGACGGAGAGGTAACCTCACCCAGCTGGCAAAGAAGTGCGCGTGCGTATGAGGGGAGGGCGCTCCGCTCGAGATTCGCATGTGACAAGAAGGATTCCCCTCCCCCCCCCCCACGTTGAGGGAAACCTGCCTTCCTAGCGTAGGGGAGGTACATCTTTGACCTCTACGCTGGCGCGCAGGTGGGCTGTCCGTGTTGACGTTTCAAGCCGGTCTGTCCCCGATGTTCCAGGCCCTGTGCACCATCCTTGCCGTGGGAGGCTTTGGAGGAGTTACCCTGCCTGGAGGTTTCCTCAACGTATCAAAAAGACGATCTTAGAGGCATTGATTTTTAAGGTCTCTTATGCTTTTACCACTAGTTAAGTATAAATTCACAGCACTGTTTCATATATTTACATTTGGCTTATTATTGTAACGAAAGCTTTCCCAGCAAGTCCTTTTCCCACTTCTAGAGAAGAGCTGCTACTGAGGAGAATAATAGAAATCTGAAATTCTCTTCCTCTAGAGCAAAGTTGCTCATAGGATGGAAGTTAAAATTGCTTTCTGCAGAATTCCGCAGCCCCAAAGTGTCAGTTCCTCACTTGCTACTTTGGGTAACACTTATAATCTGGCACTGCCTTTTCTGTCTTTCGAGTTTCCCCTCCTATCAAATTCTGACTCTTTCATTTTTTCCCTGTTTCCTCTTGTTCTCCTCAATTTTCTTGGTTCTGATATAACCATAGCCAGACATCTACATCATTTCTTTTCTGTTCTTCACTAATCAGTGGTATTTGTGCTATGCTTTATCTGCCTGCAGCGTTGCTCACGAATATGTTCTTTTCTTTAAGGCAATTAAAAAACAGTGGAATGGAAAGCAAGTGCTGTGGTCATTCCATGTTCTGCTCCTTATCAACAATGTATACATTCCTGTTAGGCACCGTATTCATTGCTTTAAGCTCAAGTCGAATCCTACTGGTAAAATATTCAGCCAATGAAGGTAAGTTAAGACTTGGAATATATGGAGCACTTCTATCTAATCACACATTATGTCTCCTGTGTCTGGTCTCCTTATGTGTAAAATAGAGATAATACCCTTTCAGGTACTCTGCTTCATGTAAACGATAAAGTATGTTTAAATTTGATTCTGTAACCTTTCATTCCTGAGCAAGAAAAATGTTTGATGTTGAGTGAAATTTGGATTAGTCAAGTGCAGTGCTGAGCCCTTTAGAGAACAGATAATAACATCTGACTGTTGCTTTAATCAACATATCTTTGGGTCTGTAGCAGTACGTGTAATTATAACTTACTTTGAAATAGGATATATATGGTCACTTGGCATTTGTGAGGTACTGTCTTAATTACTATACCAGTGTGGCAGTAGAGATTATTAGCTTTGAAATTATTAGCTCAAGAAGTCTTCTGGTTGGGTTTTTTTTTTTTGTTTTTTTTGAGAGAGAACTTGTGTGTGCATGGTGTCGGGGAGGGGGCAGAGGAAGAGAGACTCCATGTGTGCCATGTGTGGTGCAGAGCCCAGTGCAAGGCTTGATCTCAAGAACCTGAGATCATGACCTGAGCTGAAATCAAGAATCAGACACTTAACCAACTGAGCCACCCAGGTGCCCCTTCTGTTTTTTTGTTTTTTTTTTTAATGTAGGAATTTGTATTTAGATAAACAGTTTAATTCTACAGAGCTGTATTGAGAACCTTTCACTAGTTATTGAAGACACACAAAGTCATGACATCACGACCCTTAATGGTTTGCTTGTGGAGTCCGATGTGTATATAAGTCTCTACTTTGGTTAACATTTATCTCTTGGGCACTAGGCCAAGTATTAAGTAGCAGTGTTCAAAGTATGTAAGACATAGACATTGTTCTCAAGAACTCGGTTTATTAGGAGAGCTGTACGTGTGAAACATCATGAAAATATGGTAGAATAAATGCAGTTCTATATCAAAAATGCAGAGATAGTTTAGATTAGGAAGTGATATATTCTATCTGGGAGAACATGGTATGGAGTGCAAAGGGATCAGGGAACACTCCCTGATAAGGTGAAGTTGATCCACAAGAAGACCAGTGGGCAGGGGTATTCAGAACAGAAGCAACAATCCGTAAAAATGAATAGATACGTTTTAAAAAAAAAAAAAAAGGATGAATTGTGAGAACATGTACTTCAGAATTACTGAGCAAAAAGTTTAAAGACTTGGAGGAGAGGGGCAAGGGGTGCTTGACCATAGGGGAAAGTTATGATCAGATACTTAAGGACTTCATATGCCATGCTGAGGAGCTGGAACTTTGACTTTATTCTCTAGGCCCTAGAGTCTGGGGGGTGGGAATGCTTGAAGATTATAAACAAAGTGAGAGAGACTGTTATGGTAGCTGGATAGAGGATAGACTCGGGAAGAGACTGGAAGCAGAGTAGCCAGTCGAGGTTATTGCAAGTTCAAGCTGGAGATGAAGAAGACTAACCAAGGCTTTTGAGGTAAAAGTAGAGAAGAGAGGATAGATTAAAAAAAAATACTCTAAACATAGAAAAGCCAGGACTCAGAGAATGTATTGAATATGGAGACTAAAGAACATGAAATACCATATAGCTCAAAGGTTTCTGGTTTGGGGTGCTAAGTAGATTGATGGTGTTCTCAGCTCAGACGGAAGCTATTAGTAGGAAGAAGCAGGTTGGCCAGAATTCAGAAAGATTACAGAGTTTTAGTTAGGTACCTTCCCTCCTGGCCAGGAGCTATGTCCTTGTTCATTGCAATATTCTGCACTATCTAGCACATCACATATGTGAAGGAAATACCAATTAAATTCATACATAGGAGGTAGTTACTCATGTGGATATGTTTAGTGAGCATTAAATGTTCCAGAATACAGATTTGGAGACATTAATATTAAATTGACATTTACAGCCATAGGAGCAGAGAGCTCATTCAGGGTAAGCATGCAGAAGGAGAAAATAAGAGCCAAGGAATGCCAACATTTAAGAGCCATGCCGACGCTCAGATGTTAAGAAAGAATCGTTAGAGAAATAAGAGAACTAAATGCACATGACTTATAGAGGGGAAGGAAATGAGTTTGGAGACAAAGGAAATAGTATCATCATAGTAAGATAGGGATTAAAGCGTGCCCTTTGGAATTAGTAATTAGAAGATGTTTGGTAATCTCAGAGACGAGGTAGTTTGAATAAAGTGATGGGATCAGAAACCAGATTGCTTGGGAATAAGACCTGAATGGAAAGTGGGTAAAAGGGAGATAATGAATGTTGGTGCTATTTTAGGGAAAGAAGGAGAAAGTATGGTAGCTGGAGCAGGGGTAGGATCTTATATTTTGTTGCTTTTTTTTTTTGGATAGGACAGTTTGAGCATACTTACAGGCCAAGGGGGGAAGCCAGTTAATAGAAGACAGAGGAAGTACTTATTGGAGCAAAGTTCCTGAAGAGAAAGGAAATTTTTAAAGGGGAGAATGGGTCATAAGGGATCATGGCCCCTTTCTTTGGACTAAAGGGAGCCCAGTAAGGATGAATGCAGTGTAAATAAGGTGTATGAGTGAAGGCAGAAGGTAAGCGTAAGGAGGCCCAATGTGATGCTGAGTCACAGTTTGGGATCTACCATGACAGAAATACAATTTAAAAATAAATAAAAGCCAAAGTGAGTTCTAGAGCAGTGGCAAGAATTTGAGAGCTGTAATCTGAAGGCCTTTCCCCCGTTCTTGTTGTGTGCATGTTCACTTGTGTGTATCATGGAGATCAGTGCAAAGTAATTATTAGCAGATAGTAGAGTGTGATCTCAGCCTAGCTTTAAGCTCAGAGAAGGGAGAAGTTTTAATGAGGCTTCGAATGATGGAGAAAGTTTAACAGGCAAGTATTAAATTCAGGTGAACATTTATTACGTGCAGAATACTGTTACCTGCCAGTTATATGAAGATGACTAATGTGGGCCCTTTCTCATAAGAAGCTTGCATTCTAAGGTAAGACATACACAGAAGTAACTCTAATACAGTGGGACAAGTACTGCTATAAAGGTTTACAGGTAGTGCAGCAGGATCCAGATGAACAAAGAATTGACTATGCTTATGTTGAGAAGGTCAAGGGAAACCGCAGAAAAAAGAAAAAAGGTGTTCTGGATAGAAAGAATGCTGAGTTGGCATTTTCCCTCTGTACTTGGCCAGTTTTGGTTTTTCATATAATGACCAAGGGAAACAGGCAAATGTTTCGAAAGGGGGGGAAATGCATTCCTTAAAATAGGACCTAACAAAGTTTGTTTGTTCATGGCAAAATTGTACAGCAAGTTGTTTGTCAGCATTTGGAATAGACAGAGGTAACAGCTAAGACCAAGGCAAACTGACCTAACCTCATTTCCTAATTAAATTGACTTGTAAGTTAAGAACTATCTTCCCAACTCATCAGTGGGTTTGGATTATGTCAGATATTTCCTCCCAGCCCTAGAGGTAGCCAGAGCCCTGGGCACTTGCCTCTTGGCTCTAATAGCTTCCTTCTTTTACCCCAATGTACTGTTTATCCCAGAGTGCCAAACAAATACTGTTTTCTATGCATGCCATGATGCGAAACAGATGGGACTACTCTAAGGGAATATCACAGACTGTGTACCTTGATTCTAGCAAGGCAGGCAAGTCACACAAGAGGAGCCATGAGCTGGGTCCTAATTCAGCCAGATAAATTCATAGCTTTTGAGGAGTCAGGCCCTGAATGCTAATTAGTGGTCATTTTAGAAGCCCATCTCTAATGCCATACCCCAAAGCCTTCTTTGCCCATAGCCTTAACCTCCTCCACATATTTATCAGTAACTTGGATGAAAACATCAGAAGGCTGTTTATCAAACTCAAGAATAATAAAACACTGAATGTCATAAGGATGGCTAATACATTAGGTGAACGGATTAAAAAATCCAAGAGAGAATAAAGCCAAGTGGATGAAGTTTAATATAACCAGTATTAAAATCCAGCTTTTAGAAACAGCTATAAATTATTAACTGTATATAAGCATTATGTAGAACAAAACTTATAGTTAAAAAAATTTGTTACATTTCAGAAAACAAGTATGATTATCTTCCAACTACTGTGAATGTGTGCTCAGAATTGGTGAAGCTAGTTTTCTGCATGCTTGTGTCATTCTGGGTTGTAAAGAAAGGTAAGTCTTGAAGTGGTACTCTATACTTGTTAAAAATCACAGAATCAAAACATTTTAGAACTGAAAGGAACATTCAATGTCATTTAGTCTAGCCCACTAATTTTATATATATGAGGACACTAACATACAAACTTAGGTATGAATACCACTGTTTTGCAAGTGGAGAAACAGGCCCAAATAGAAAATGCTATGCAGTGGTGGGTAGGAAGGGGCAGGGCCAGGACTCCAGCCCACATTTTCCTCATGTCTTGGCCATTGCTCTACCTTGTTACTTGTTCCTTTGTTGGGTCACACAGCGAGTTAGTTTTTATTCAAGTTCAGGATTTTCTGAATCACTGCTGTCTGATTTGATATGTAGCATATTGCCAAACAGCCCCCATTTCTTACAGGGGTGGTAGTATAGTGGATTGGAGTCAGAGAGACTATATTCTGGGGCAGATTATTTTAACTTCCCTGACTTCCAATTTCATCAATTATCGAGCAGAGATATTCATCCCTTCCTCACATCTAAAACATCTGGCCTTTTGTGGCTCTTCATATGTATTATGTATTAATTCTCCACCTTAGTTCCCCAATTCTTGAGCCTTAGCACATTCTATTCTTTAATCTGCCCTCACATGTGAGGTAAACATAGAATTTAAAGTATTAACTGTCTTTTCCAGGAAGATTTCTTTTTATTCTTAAAAGTTTCAATTTGTGCAAAGTTTCTAGTTGGAATACATTTCTTAATCTCATGAAATTTATGTGTTATTTGCAGGGCTTATATTTAAATTGTTTTCTATTTTTGCAGGTTATTTTACATTCTCTTGTTATGGTACCTTCCTAAGTTTTTGGAAATATGGAGATGGGATCATAACTCATATGAGGATTAGTAAAATTTAATTTTCTCTACTCCCATATTATAAATTTTTGCCTGGTATCATCTTTTCCTGATCTCCCCTCCCCCCCCCGAGGGGGAAGAAAATCCCAGCATAAATACTTGATTTTTTTTTTTCCTCTATGTTCTAACATCTAGCTCTCTCTCTTGGCTTTAGGCTCTCATAGTAGTAAGAGAAACCTTAAGTATCCTGAGATGTTCCAAGTGACGTTTCAAGTTAACAGGAATTAGGTTTTCCTAAGGGTGTTGCTGATTGTCAGTGATGAGGCATGGTAGTTGGTGGGCTGAAGAAAGAGAGACAATATGAAATCCTACATTGCCTTTGATTTCTTAAGGCTAATAGTCACTGATGAAAGCAAGTTCATAAAGCCTCTTTCAAAGAATTGTATCAGTAATCAAATACAACTCTAAAAATATGGGCATTCTCATCAAGATCCTTTGTTTATTGCTGTCTTTCTTTCTTTAAAAGATCATCAAAGTAGAAACTTGAGATGTGCTTCCTGGAAGGAATTCTCTAATTTCATGAAGTGGTCCATCCCTGCCTTTCTTTATTTCCTGGATAATTTGATCGTCTTCTATGTCATTTCCTACCTTCAGCCTGTAAGTAAATATGATAGAAAATAGCACTGGAAAAATACAGAGAAATGAATCCCAGAACTAATCTTTTTTATCATTTTCATTGTCAGTGTTAGTTTCTCTTTGCCCCCAGTGGTCTTCCTGAGGTTTGACCAGAATCATCTGAATACGGAATTACCAATCTGCTTGCCACATTCTCTCTCTGTTAAAGATTGCTGTAGAAAGCTGTGCTGACTGTTTGGCAGGAGCTGGTCCCTGGCCAGTGAATGTGGAGCCATCTCTGTGTGTAACCTTAGTCTGCCTGTTTGCTGAGCCATCCTATGGTCACCAGCCTCCATTAACTTTAGCATTTAGTACCTCCAAACAGATTTCCATGATTAACTCAGAAAATCATGTACTCAGTGCACTACTTTGTCCTATACCTGCTTTAATGTAATATATGCATTCTGTTTGTATGATCTTTTTTTTTCCTATTAGTCCTACCATTTAACCAACAAGTTCCTTAAAGGTAGAAAATACATTTTCCCAGCTGTAAATGCTATCTATACCTGATAATACTAGGGATGTTTCTCATCTCTCTTGGCATCCTCCATGCCAATTGAGAAATCCAGTCGTAATCGGAATTAAAATTTAGTCTTCTGCTTTTACGTATTACTCACTTTGGGGCATGTGTATATTTTCCCCTAATATTTTATAAAACGAAGATTTCTATTGCCATTGTTGCCAAAATGTGTTTTAAGTTTCTTTAAAGAATATATGCAGGCATTTTGACGATAAATAGGATTTTTATTGGCACTAGTTCTCTATCTGAAGCCTCTTAAATATAGCCAAATCAGTTTGAGAGTGGGACAAGAAGGAGAGATCAGTGGAACACTAAGTAGAAAACAGGAATTTGATTCTTTTGCACAATTTAGAAACTGTGTATTAGGCAATCCCCAAGTACTGTGTCAGTTGCCCATCTGTAAAATAGAATAACATTAGAATACCATACCAACCCAAAGGCAGGAACCTGGGCCAGGTGATCACCTGAAGTTCCTTTCAGCTGTGTGATCCATGTTATTAGTAAGTGTTCTGAATATTAGAATGTGTTCTCTTACATTCTTCCACTTTGTTTTTCAGATCTGAGAATTCCTTTACCCAACAACATAATTTTTCGCATCAATGAATACATAGTTGTTGTATTTTATTTAGATCAGCTCTAAATTTATATTCCTTTCCTCTGTCCTCAGGATGAAAGCAAGATTGCAGCTTCCTTGTTCTTCCAGCTTATTGCTTTGCTCTTCCTTCCTGATCATGCACAACCACAGATCTTACAAAATCAGTCACATGGCATATTCTGTATATTGCTGTGCCCAAGTCTAGTTGGAAAGAATTAGAGATGCATGGAAGTTTTGGGGCAAAGAGCTCTGGTGTTTTGTTTATTTCTGCTCTTGCATGGGAAGCAGTTTCAGAATTCACCAGGGCAGCCAGGCTGCTTGGTTAGGTGATGTGCACTGTTACTGTGATTGATCAGAGCCACTGCCTCCTCCCTCTTACCAGCCACTTACTTTCCTCCTCAGCTCTTACTCTTCTCCTACGCAGGGGTTCATAAACATTTGTCTCCAGAGGACACTGAGAAATCCTTAAAACAGTGCTTCCCATAAGAAATTCAATAGAAAAACAACAATGTTATATTCTTGGAATTTTTGCTGGTTTTTATTGGATTTATTCTTATTTCTTTAATTCACCTACACGGTAGCCATGTTTGCTGGTTATATAAGACTACTGAAAAATACTCTTTGGAGTTCAGTCACCTTAAACTGACAGCAAGGAAAAAGGCAAAGTGAAGTAAACAAGTAGGATTTGTTTTTAAAAATTGTTAATATTGTCAGATCAAATCATGGGGAGCAATGATGAAATTTCATACTTTCCGAGCCAAAGTATATACATGTTCAGATTAATATCTCATATGTGAAATATGACTGAATTCATGAAAAGAGACCTTTATGAAATCTGGCTAACACATTTCTAAGCGTTGAGAACAATATGAATAAATCAAAGGACTGTCAAATATGAATTTGGTATTGAATCACTGGTACTGAATCACTGCAGTTCAACCAGGAGAACTGATTGAATTCCTACAATAGTAAAGATGCTTAAAAACCTGTACCTCAATTTTCTTACTGTATAAATGGGCCTAACACTACTTGCCTTCCCTCCACTCCTGGAAATAGTGTGAAAAGTCTTTAAAGCACTTGAAGAGCTTGAAAAAGTATGCTTCATAAGCAAGGTAGCTGTTATTTCTAGACCTGAACATTTAGAGTTTCTAAGCATTTCCAGATCTGCATATACAGATTATTTACACAGGCATTTGCTGAATTTAAGCATGTTTTCAAAGCCTATACAATAATTTGGACATATCTGCATACATTTAACAACCAATAAAAATGGAATTTAATCCTCTAGTGAAATAGCTGCCCTAATAACCCCTCAGGTTTTTGACCAAAAAGCTCTTCTTATCAGGTGAACCAGAGAGCTGGGAGATTTCTGAAGTCACTACTTTGTTTGGATTGTAACTCTATCTTCTCCTTCTTTCTAGGCCATGGCTGTTATCTTCTCAAATTTTAGCATTATAACAACAGCTCTTCTATTCAGGATAGTGCTGAAGTAAGTAACTAGCTCTGATATCATATATCATACTTTAAAACAGCACAGCCTTACTTCAGATGATATACCCAGAGCACTGAACCCTCCGAATCCCAGGGCCGGGATTTTATTCCTAACTGGCTTTGTGTTTTGGACAAATTGGTTAACCCATCTAGAAACCAGCTCCAGTGCTGGCCCATCTAAATCTTTGCAACTAGATGTATGAAAGGTTTTTTCTTAGCATCTCAAAAAAATAAATAATTGACCAGCTTATTTTAGTTTTTAGTGCCAGATTTTCAACAAAGAATTGATGGGCTCTCCCTGCCCCAAGATCTCTATACTTTAGTAGGGAACCAAGAAGTTCCTAAATATTGTTAATGCATTTGTTATTTGTAGTTTGGAGATGATAAAGAGTGGCAAATTCCTTATTAAACTACTTGAGACAAGTATATGACTTAAGCTCTGATTGGTAGAGGATTTGCATGAGGAATCTAGTCAAAAGTACAATTAATAAGAATGATAGATTTTTAAACTTTTAAAAAATGCTATCACCAGTGTTTCCTTTCTCCAGGAAGACCTTTGAATAAAATAAACATTTTTAAGTAAACAGGCTCTGCTACCAAGCGAAGGCCAGAATATTCTAAGGTATAATGGGATCTGGGTATTTAACTCCAGTTTAATTTGTTACGTGATGATGATAAAAATAAAATTAACTTCTTGTTATATTTGTTGTGATTGTTTTTTTTTTAATTTTGCGTTCACTTCCCCTTTTAATTTCTTATTTCTCATGCCATGTCATAGTATGTGCTTTCATAATTTATGTGTACAGAAGGGTGAATGGCTTAGTACGTAGGCACTCAGTTAATATTTGTTGAATCCTTGATGGATTCAGTACATTGATTATATGGAGTTCTTGAGAGACTTTCTTTTATCCTGAGGAAGCATTCAATTTAACAGTTGATGTGAGAGATGAGGAAAAAAAAACAAACATTATATTACATCCAGGTTAAAAGTTAGAGTGCACTGAAATTTGCAGGTTCTTCATTTATGAATTGTGACAATAATTCAACTAGCAAATTAAAGAATGCTAATTCCAAAATGTTTTGAAGTCTTTAAAATCAACATAAAAGTCATTTTATAGGATAAAAAGTTGGCTTCTGAGATATATATATATGTTACATATAAGCAGTAATATCTTTATATTGATTCCTGTGATAAAATTGGAGATGCATGTCCATGGAGGAATAAAATTGGCCCTGCCATGTAATAAAAGGTTCATTATTTGATAAGGGAGTCTCATAAAGGGGTCTCAAAAACATGTTGGCTTTTTTTTTTTTTAATAATTTTTTTATTGTTATGTTAACCACCATACATTACATCATTAGTTTTTGATGGATGTTGGCTTTTTTTTAAGTAAAATTTTTTTACTGTGAAATGACAGTTTATGGGTACACATGGTATTATACCTACATTATACAGTACATAAGTATTGTGTCAAGGTTATATCAATTTTTTTTTAAAGATTTATTTATTTATTTTGAGAGAGTGAGAATGAGAGAGAGAGAGTACATGAGAGCAGGGAGGGTTAGAGGGAGAAGCAGGCCCCTCGCCGAGCAGGGAGCCCGATGCGGGACTCGATCCCGGGACTCCAGGATCATGACCTGAGCCGAAGGCAGTTGCTTTTTTTAATAAATTTTTTTTTAAAGATTTTATTTATTTATTTGAGAGAGAGAATGAGAGATAGAGAGCACGAGAGGGAAGAGGGTCAGAGGGAAAGCAGACTCCCTGCTGAGCAGGAAGCCCGATGTGGGACTCGATCCCTGGACTCCAGGATCATGACCTGAGCCGAAGGCAGTTGCTTAACCAACTGAGCCACTCAGGCGCCCAAGATTATATCAATTTAAAATTGAATTTGCCAAAGCAAAAACGTATTGCCAGATTTGGAATTGGCCCATAGCTCTAGCTGTGCCCTTAATTGTATATAATATTTTTTTTGTTTTTATTTGTTTTAATTTACTCCAAAGCATGAGCTGTGGCTCAGAGGTCAGGGCCCCTCAGAAATGCCTTATCCAGGGTTGGCCGACTGGTTTGTAGGCAACAGGGCAGGCAGGCTTTCAGCTGGACAATGAGAAGATAACACAATAAGGACTCCTCAGGGCCAAGGGCTGGGCCAAGGGCTGAGCGGAGGGCCTTTCCCCAGCTAGGCTTAACTCCACAGCAACCCCAGGAGGCAGGAGTTATTGTCCCGGTTCATCAGGAGATTCATCTCAAGCTGAGTCTGTGCCCAGGGCCCAGAGCCACCAGGCATTTTGCAGCATTTAGGTGGCTTTGACCACAGGGGAGGAAGCATGTGGGGCGGCAAGGTTAGAGGCAGAGGGACCAACTCAAAGTGAACTGCCCCTGTCAGGCTAAGACAGCTAGCACACGGGCAGAGATGGCCCTCTTAAATTTTTAAGCATTAAACTATATTAAGAAAGTTCTTAGTGTAACCAAATCTAAATCTAATTATACTGAAAACTTAATTATAATAACATTGTTATATTGTTGCTAGTTTTAATAATAATTAATGTTATGAACTAAAGTTCCAAGAAGCTTTTGCCCATATTTTATCTCTTAATATTCAGAGCAGTAATAGACATGTATTTGCTTTGTTGTTAATATCTCTCTGTTTTGAATCCTTCCAAGTTAATTAAATAGACAATAAAATCACTCCATTTTTATTATTTTTGCAGGCAGTAACTTGGCTCCTAGAGGGGGTCTTAATTTGACTGATTCACAAATCAGCACTGAAGCTAGTTTTAATATTGCTAAAAGAATATAATAAATCTAATACTGTCTTTTATGAGAATGTCTTCCAAGTATTGTATTATCTATTATTACATTTTAAATCAACTTTGTTCTATTTTGATCTTTTTGTCGTTGGTGGCATATGTTGTTTGTTTGGTTTTCCTTATTCAGTCTACTCTTTGTGAGCCATTTAATGTTCTTTTGCCCTTAACAATAAAATTTTGACCCAGGAGTAGCAGCTTGAGTCTTATTACATATTCTTAATGTGTTTGCCCTAAATAACTCATTTTACATTTAGAATATTTTTTAATTTAAATTCAATTAGTTAACATATAGTATATTGGTTTCAGAGGTAGAGTTCAAGTTGTATATAATACCCAGTGCTCATTATATCATGTGTTCTCCTTAATGCCCATCCCCCTGTTACCCTATCCTCCCAGCCCCCTACGTTTAGAATATTAAAGCTCTTGTTTTATACTTGACTCTAGCAGAGCCATCAAATACCTTTCTCATACAAAGAGTATAAGGCTACACAGGTAGGAAAAAAGAAGACCGGTGACTAATGCAAAAATTAGTTGGAAGAATTTGAAAGTGGTAGAAAGAAAAATAGCACCAATCAAATACCTTACCGGATGTTCAGGAGAAACCCCATGTGAATGTGTAGATTTGTTCTTTGAAGTATAGCCACTGGTCCACAGTGGAAACTGGTGGCAGGCATTATGCCTTGGAGCCTTATTAAGGCTTGGCAAAGTTGTACTATCTTGTTTAATTAGACTTTAGGAAATAGTATCAACCTGAACATTGAGATCTGGGGGCAGAAGATAACCAAACAAGCACTTTTATCTAAAAAAGTGTATATAAATTTCTCTGATATCTTCAAACGGAAGCTGTTGGGAAAAAAAAATCAATGAAAAACATTTTGACACATGATGGGTGTCTTAGAAGTTATGGTAATGTTTAGTTACTCTCCAAATAAGCAAAAGAAAAAAAAAAGTGCCACTCACTGGTGCAAGCATTTCTTCAAAGTCATTCACTTGATAACTCTTTTTTATAATTTCCTGTTATAAATATGCCACTGGTCACTGTGCTAAGAAATGTTTTATGTACAATTTTTTTTTAAAGTCCTGTGAGTCTCCACTTTATTTTCATGTTCTGCCCTGTTTTACTGTCACCAACATGGTAGAGATGCTCTTATCTAACACAATTTGGACTTAATTTTTGAGTTATTAGGAAAACTCAAAGTGGTGAATCATTAAAAAAAAAAAACATACCTTAAACAGCTGAAGATGTGTAAATGTCCATTCATCAATGTTTTGAAGAGCTCAGGCCTTGCCTTTGAAATGTGTGGGATTTGCTGATTGTAGTTTTTTTTGCCTTCTTTCTTGAAGCTACATTCATTATACATCATCCATGCTTTCTGGTTTTAGTTTTTTTAAAGTAGAACAAATTCTTAAAAATACTTTTAGGGTAGATTATTGTAGATTTTTATTATTTCCTAATCTTATAATTAGCTCATCTGTACCCAGTTTGAAGACAGGTTAATCTTGCGAGTAATTTGCCTTTAATTAATCTTCCAAAGCATTCAACTTTTCATAAAAACTGCAATCCTTTTCTTTTGCTCATAATTTATCATTTATGTAATCATTAAATATCTAATTACAATAATGAGGTCACTTGGCAAAAACACAGGAACAGAGACTCTGTGAGCATGGAGTTCATTTGGAAGCAGAAGCCCTCAGGTAGAGTGGCCTTCTAGTAGTAAGCGTTCAGCTCTAATCAGCAATCCGAATGGTTTGTTTACTGGGGTAGTGGAGAGATCGTTTAGGTGAGTTTCTACTGTTGCATTCACTAAACTGTGGGAAGCAAATTCTTTCATGCACAGTCATTTATAAGAGCACCTATCCTCAGCTGACTTTATGGGATAATTTATTAAGCTTTATTTTCTTTGCTGAAAATCTACCATTTTCAGCCTAACCCTTAATAATTTTTCCCTTCTTCTAGAACGTTACCTTGAATGAGCAATATTTGCAGTGGTACCGATTAACTTGGATAAGGCTTTGTTTAATTAGGTTCTTTTTTTCTCAGTGTCAGTATTAGTAGAAAATCTGTAGCTGTCAGAACTGAAAACTTCTAAAGGAATTATAGATTACATTATATAGAATTACATTTGTCTTGATGTCCAATAATCGGTTATATAATGATTTTTATAAGTTGGGCATATACTTTTCATCTGTCTTTTCTGTTTCCAATCAATTTGCTTTCTACCACTTATTGCATACCAGCTACACCTTTAGCAATTTATGTGATTAGTACACAGGTTCTGACCTCATGGCTTAGGGCTATGCTAGCCTCATAACTAAATGCTAGACCTGGTTATTTGAAAGTATACATGAGAAGACATGATAGTGTGCATGTGTGTGCTGCTATCTAGGCTGGTCTATGCACATAAAATTTTAATTCATGAAGCTCTATGGAAGCATTGGTGAAATCAGACACCTCTCCCTATATATGCACCTTGGGAACTCATTATTCTTAAACATTGTACTTGAGAGGCGCGTTGGTCCAAAAGGAAGACATTCAAACCATGGCTCAGATCCCTTGCTCTTTCATAAATCTGTGACCTTAGGGAAGTCTGTTCACCTCTCAGAGCACTCTTTCCTTCCTTAGAACAGAAATTGCCTGACCCATAGTAGGTGTCCAGTAAATGCTCCAAAGTTCTTGTAACTTCCATTTCTTACCTTTTGCTTTACACTTCTTCCTTTGCTTATATTCTCTGTGTGTATGTGTGTGTGTTCCCCCTTCTTCATCTGACTGATGATCTTTAAACTTGAAGATTTTGTTCTCCTTCAGATCTCCGTATCTACCCCAACCTGAGTCAGCTGCTCCTCTTTCCTTAGTCAACATTGTACATTCTTGTTGCCTTTGTATACTCTTCCCTCTGCCTGGGTATATCGCCAACTGCCATTTCACATGGCAAATTTCAGTTTATTTTTCATGTTTCACCTCGTGTCATTTTTTCTTTGAAACAACATCTGACTCCCACTTACAGACTCAAGGTTCCTTCCCTGTTGTGCCCCAGTTGTTCTGTGTATCACTTGTCACACATTATGTTTGCATTGTTTAGTTTCCAAGGCTCTTCCCCTATTAAAGTGTAAATTCCTTGGGGATGGAGATCAAGTCTTATCTCCCCAGGCTCATAGTAGCCTGGCACATTGTAGCTGCTTATTTAAATGTCTGTTGAACTGAATGAATCCACAAATAGATTGACAATAAAGCATGTCTTCTGTATCATACAAGTTTGTGGTTAGGCAAAAAAGTAAAGAAATAAAGCATTGTTGAGACTTTGTAAACTGAAACACTAAAAATACTTTTCTCCTTACTGTCCCAAACAGTAGTTTACTGTAAAATTCTTTTATGTTTAGGCCATGGATCTAGGAGCAGACTCCCTCCTTAAATCTTTTTTGGGTCATGAACACCTTTGAAATTTGACACTTTGAAGGGTCTCATGGGATTGGTGGGGGCAGGGCCGAGAATTCACCTGTATAGAAGATTTGGCACCTACTACAAGGACTCGTGGATTTCTAAGGCTCCAAATACAGGTTCGTGGAAATCAGGTTGAGAATCTGCCATACTTACTTCACAGCAAAGTAAAAAATTGTTACAAAGGTCTACGATCAGCTCTGGAGGTAAAAAGGAGACTTAGTTGAATCTAAAGTTAAAAGGAAACTTAACAATGAGGAGAAGTGACTGAATGGCATTAAGGGACAATTTATTACAAAGGTGAATAAAAATATGCTTAAGCACCAGAGACACCAACGGGTTTCCTTTGAACTTGAACTGGGAATGCTAGCAAAAACTGGGTACAGTTTATTCAACCAAGTACCTAAGTGTCTTGAGTTTTCAGTCGAAACAGTCGATATGGGAAAGGAATGGGGGGGGAACAGTAGTAAAATCTTGTTTTTCCTCTTTGAATAGGAGGCATCTAAGCTGGATACAATGGGCTTCCCTCCTGATTCTGTTCTTGTCTATTGTGGCCCTTACTGCTGGGACTGAGACTTCACAGCATAACCTGGCAGGACATGGATTTCATCATGATGCCTTCTTCAGCCCATCCAATGCCTGCCTCCTTTTCAGAAGCGAGTGCCCCAGAAAAGGCCATTGCACAGCAAAGGCATGGACTTTTCCTGAAGCTAAGTGGAACACCACAACCGTGGTTTTTAGTCACATCCATCTCGGCTTGGGCCATGTGCTTATTATAGTCCAGTGTTTTATTTCTTCAATGGCCAATATCTATAATGAAAAGATACTGAAGGAAGGGAACCAGCTCGCTGAAAGCATCTTCATACAGAACAGCAAACTCTATTTTTTTGGCATTCTTTTTAACGGACTGACGCTGGGCCTTCAGAGCAGTAACCGTGATCAGATTAAGAACTGCGGGGTCTTCTATGGCCACAATGTGTTTTCAGTTGCTCTTATTTTTGTGACTGCATTCCAGGGCCTCTCGGTGGCTTTTATTCTCAAGTTCCTGGATAACATGTTCCACGTCTTGATGGCCCAGGTCACCACTGTCATCATCACAACGGTGTCTGTCCTGGTCTTTGACTTCAGGCCCTCCCTACAGTTTTTCTTAGAAGCACCCTCAGTTCTTCTCTCCATATTTATTTACAAAGCCAGCAAGCCTCCAGGTCTGGAGTTCGCACCTAGGCAAGAAAGAGTCCGAGATCTAAGCGGCAGTCTCTGGGAGCGCTCCAGTGGGGTAAGTTTGTGAGGATGCTGCCTTTTGCCTCTTTCTCCCAAAGTCAGCGCGTGGTTATACAAGAAGAGAAATTGGTCAGTGCTTATTTTGCAAAGGATGTATTGGATTTCTGTGACTTTTAAAAATTATTCAACAAACGTTCACTGGACTTAGGTGTGCAAGGGCTTGTGATAATGCTGTAAGGGGTCGAGAAAGAGCATAAATCACAGTCTCGAGGACCTTGTGTATGTTCTAGAGCCACAGAACTGGGAGATGTCCCACAGGTTATCTTGTCTAGTCTTTCTAGTTTGGTAAATGAATAAACAGACTCAGAGAGGCTAAGTGGGTTATAGATAGTATGTAAAAAAGAACTATACTAAACCCATGAGGTTTGACTCCTAGTCCATTACTCTTCCCAGCCCACCATAGTCGGGAAATATGCCTCATTCATAATAAAAGTTGGTCTTTGACATGAGTCAGTCTTGTTAAATATAAGTGGAAGTCCTGGCTCCTTGATTTCCCTGAGTTACTCATGAACCCCAATGTGCCAGAGGGGCAGGCCTTATCTCATTAAGAAAGTGGTTTTCAAAAGGATCTTCATAAGTAAGAGAAAAATTTTTTCTAGTAGTATTTGCCAGTTGCTTATAATTCTTCTAGGAAGGTCTGTCAGTCATGGTATTAGCAGATTAATAATGGTCTTTTGGAGATTCAAGTAAGGAGTTAGATATATGTTTAAAAGATGAAATAAACTCCTCTAACTAGCTTTAAACTTACAATGTTCATGAACATACAAAATATTAAGTACTTCAGGCGCCTGGGTGTCTCAGTTGTTAAGCATCTGCCTTCCGCTCAGGTCATGATCCCAGGGTCCTGGGATTTTGAGTCCTGCCTCAGGCTCCCTGCTCAGCGGGGAGTCTGCTTCTCCCTCTGCCTCTGCCTGCCACTCTGCCTACTTGTGCTCTCTCTGTCTCTCTGTCAAATAATTAAAATCTTTAAAAAAATATATTAAGTACTTCACAAAAATTATCTCTTGCCTATTAGTTCATGGTGGAGCTTCCATCAGTAATGTCTCTGAAGTAGAGACAGAACAGATTCTTAAGATGAAGAAATTAGAAGGGTGGGTCTCAAATGCCCTGATCTCAGCCAGAGTACAGTTTCAAAAGTCCTGTATTCTTTTCCAATGGTCTGATAACAGTGCTTGCCCTAATTTTTAGGTAAAAAAAAAAATATCGATTTTAGGTAAGGGCCTAGTTCATACTTATTTCTCCAACCACTAGTTACTTCCCTTCAAGACCAGTAGAGGGTGCTCCTTACTGTGTTCCGGTTGTTAGTTTTGAAATTCAAGTACAGAGATACGTGTTGATTTTTTGTGATCTCATTGTGTGTCTAAAATTAGCTTTCCAAGAACATAAGTATTTACCTAATTTCATTTGACTAGATTATGGTTGTAGTTTAATGAAATAAATTTGCCAGTAGGGTTTCTCCTTAGTAATCATTAAATAATGCTACATTTCTAGTGTTGTTTTAAAGTAATTACTGATTTCATATTTCCTTTTAGGATGGAGAAGAACTGGAAAGACTTACCAAACCGAAAAGTGATATTGAGTCAGATGAAGATACTTTCTAATTGGTACCCAAATGATTGGCAGCTCTCAGAAACCTTATTTTCACATTTTCAGCATGTGTAATATTTATCTTTTCACTTTGATAAACAAGAACATTTCTAAAGCATTATACTCTTTGCATATATGTAACCACTCCCTAAACAGTTCCATCCAAGGCTTAGGGTACCCAAAGGCTAAAACATTCTAAGGAACTGACGTGGGAGTAAGAGTATGGAGACTGAATTAATGGTACTTGGTAAGTCAACAAGACACATTCCCAGGTTATCTTCCTTGTCCTCCAGGGTTCCAAAAAAACTTGTAATAATCACGTTGGCTGTACCTTATAAATACACAAATAGCGGTCAGTTTGCCAGATACTCATAATTATGTAGTTCCACTCTGCATGCTAAAGTCTCTCCTTATGTATCATTATAAATATCACCTAGGTTGTCCCTTGAATTTTGAAGTTCTGGAGATACTCACTTTGCAGTTAAAAAGCAATGTGATTCTTTCTGAGAAGTTTGGTGGCAGGACCTTACCATCTGGACCAACACTGATTTGAGGGCAGTGTAGTTTGTACCAAATGTTTTGCCAAAGAAGCAATTTTGATGTCTTTCTACACAAATAAGCTTCAATTTAGGTAAAAATTGGTTCCCAGTTACCACAATTCTCACTTGGATTTTAAATCATTTAAACAAGCCACAGTGGATTTTTTCCTCCTCGGTTTGACCTCATTACTCTTGGATTATTAGATTTTAGAGAACTAAAGCCATTTCACTGTATTAGTTATTAATTAGAACTTATGATTGTTATGTTCTTACTATCATACCCTATTCCAAAGAATGAAGACACTGGCTTCAGAATCATAATAGACTGTCAGTAAGATTAATGCCTGAGAGTTCCTTTTAAGAGGGTCACTTTGGAAACAAATGACTTTCACTGAAACATTCATAGTATTACTCTAAAACAAGGAAACACCATAATAAATAAAGTACAGTAATAATACTGACACTTCAAATGCATGATATTTTTCAAGGTATTTTTGCATGCAGCCAATTAAGTATGAGGTAGAGAAGTCAGGTGAAGATAATTTAAAAGTGAGAAAACAGAAGTGACTTGCCCAAGGTCATGCAACTAGATGGCGATAAGACAGATAAGACAGGCCTAGCTCATACGCCTGTATGTTTACAGAGCACTACACTGTAGATGTGAACTTTAAGGTGTCATTTTCATGCAGTCTATACATCTCTTCTTTCCCCTAATTTTCATGCAGATGAACATGTGATAATACTGTAAATAATCCATCTATGATATCTGGAATAATCTGACAGGCAAGAATTGGTGGAAATTTATAAATAAAATAATTATTAAACCTGTACCTTGAGTCATCACTGTCATGTGAAGTGGGACACGGGGTTCTTTTCATTTTCATTTCAAAAAATGGAGGCGGCAAGAAATCCAAACAACTTTTAAAACTTTCTTTTTCCATAGATCTTGACTTCTGAGAATAGCAAAACTGAGAATCACCTTATCATAGGTATACCTCTCCATGTTGTGAAAGAGGGAGATTACATCATTATGGCAATTCATTTTAAAGGTAAGGAAATCAGGTATAGAAAGACCTCACTTTTAGGAACTATAATATATAAAAACATCTATCTTATAGAACAGAAAAAATTACAGCAATATTATAGGCAAAGGTATTGCCTACTTTAAATACATACATTAAATAGCAGATTTCACTAGTTCATGGAGCTTGATTTTCTTATTTACAACAACTTTATTTGTAATTACAGCTTTACTTGTGTTAACTGACCAATTAATAGGATAATGAAAACTGGAACTAAAATGTGAAGTTCTGGTGTGGATGCATTGTAGTACTTTGTGGGCACTAATGCTTTAAAAAGAGAATCACTGGAAGGTGAGAGGTCCAGAAACCATAGCTTATCATCTCAAGTGCTCTTAGAGTCAAGTGTATAACCTGGGGAGAAGAACAATTGCCACGTGGGAAAAGAAGTAGTCTTTCCTAAAGAACCAAATTACAGTGAAAGTTATAGGATGATGGTTATTCTTTCCTTATAAGCAAGACGCTCCTAACAAATGGTTCTTTTCAACAGTAGAAAAGGTCCTGAAGAGTGGTAGAGAGTAGTAGTGAATTCTCGATCACTGAAGTTTTCAGGGAGAGGTTGTACCATCAGGATGTTTTAGAAGACATTCCTTCATTGGTATAGAAGTTGTCCTAAATGATTTCTGAAGTCCCTTCTAATTTTTAGATGCCCTTCTAAGCAGTTATGACCTACAACTGATGTGCTGAATCTGCTTGCTTCATAGTTTCTGAATAGACTTTGGTTGGGCCTGCAGTGACCTGGTTCCAGCCAGATCTGTCACTGGCCCCAGGACCAAACTTAGGTCCAGCAGTGTGCTTAATCCTGAGGGGAAGCAGGATGTGGATGCTGCTTGTAGTGGGAAAGATGGCCTAGACCCAGGATCCCAAATCCTTGGCTAGCTGTGTCCTACTGCCATAGGTTTTCATGGTCCACATGCAGAGGAGACTCATGGCCAGATTTCTTTGTTTACAGCTCTAAAGCCTGCCTCTCATTCCCCATGTGGAAGTCAGCATGTGAGCTGGACAAGACTGTGGAGCTGCAGGGAATCCCTGCACTTCTCCGAACAGCCCAACATGCTTGACCTAACACAGCCCAGGTCCTCCTTGGCTCTTTTCCCTTTTATGTAAGTTCTGATTTTTCCCACCAACTCTTACCATTCCAGTGTGGAGAAGAGGCAGAGAAAGCCAAACTCAAAGGAAAGACAGTGGCTTTCCTTCTCTAACACAGCTGACTTTCTGAAATCGAGTAATATATATTCCTCTTTTAAGAGAAAAAAAAAATTTTTTTCTCACAGATCTCAGGGTTGGCCTTTTTCTCCTTCGCTGTTTTTTTTTTTTTAAAAGATTTTTTTTTTTTTAATTTATTCATGAGAGACAGAGAGAGAGAGACAGAGACAGAGAGGCAGAGGGAGAAGCAGGCTCCCAAGGAGCAGGGAGCCTGATGCGGGATTCGATCCCGGGACTCCGGGATCATGACCTGAGCCGAAGGCAGACGCTTAACCATCTGAGCCACCCAGGCACCCTCTCCTTCGCTGTTATTTAAACTCATACAAACGTAATATGAAGTATAAACTTCCTTGCTTATAGTTTTTATATGAAAACCAAAACAAATTTGCAAATTAAAATAGAAACATAGCTATAAAAGCAATAAACTTTCAATTCAAATATGAATATAGTGAGAAGGGGTTGTTTTGCTCAAATAAAATCACAATAAATCCCTTAACAGACCTGCAGAACATTTGCCCTCACTTGCTATTTTACTTGTTTCAAGCACCATCCTGTCTTCTGCCAAGATAACTGAAACCTGCTGACATTGCTAGTAATGCATTTAATCCTGCCGGGATTTATCAGCCCATGTCCCTGACAATCCCATACGGATGTGGTGTGGGTCAAGCTGCCAACTCCCATTGGCCTCGGTGCCCTGGAAAGATTTTTAAAATGTCAGCTTTATGTGTTCCCTAAAGTTTTGAAAGAACTCTCCAATAGAATTGCCTAGGCTTGGCACTTTCTGAGCCCCTCCCCCCCCAACATTCTCTATTTACTCCTTGTCCTACTCTGGGTCCTCTCTGTCACTTATATTTTGCTAAAAAATCATCAAGATTTTCAAATTTATTTGCATAGGAATTTTTGAATCATTCTCAAAATTCTTTTAATTTCTTCTGTTACTATAGTTCTATTTGCTTAGTTTTGTGTGTGAATGGCTTCACTATTGTTCTTTTTTAAATAAGTTAACAAGCAGTTTCTAATTTTTATTTTATTGACATTTCTTTTATGTTCCATTTTTCTAAGATTTATTTTATGTTCTTTTTCCTTCTTAGGTACTTGAAATACATTTATTTTCTTTCTTGTTTTTTAATGAACATTTTTATAACTAGTAGAAATGTTTCCTGGAGTAAGTACATACTAGGTCAATCCCCAAAGACTTTAAAATATGGTATTGTCATTATTTTCTAACTAATCTGTTTTGAGTCTTAAGGGCTGTGGGATTGAGGTTTTTATTCATACTTTTGTTAATTCCTGGTTTTCATACACTTGATTAGAAAATGAGATCTGTGTTCTTTCTGTTGTTTGCATATTTTTATTGAATTATTAAGTGTAATTTGGCTGGTCCTTTAGTATGCAATAACTTTTTTGAGAAAGTTGGTATTGGTTTGATATTTTGAACCAGTCTGAAAGTTTCTTGTAATATTTGACATTTATTCCACTTAACTTTCTAATCTATTTCATCACCATTAATTACTTTTACATTTAAGAAAGCAAATTTAGAAACTTATTTATAAATTTATCAATTTGAAAAATTAAAATACAGTCATCAACTCCTTTCACTAAGAGATGAGGAACTTAGGATATTATGTTTCCTCCCAACTCCCAGTTTTTCCTAATAAACTCGAGAATTTTATCCAGGTCTGCTATACTATATTTTATCTACTCTAAGACTCCTATGTTTTCACATTACTGTCTTTGAAATTGGAATGCCTTAAGCAATGGCAGGTTAAAATAGCTACTGTCTTGCAGCATAATGATGAAGTTGTCTTTGCTTGCACGTGCAGGCATTTGGTGTGACTGGACAATGTTTTAGCCAACAAACCACTTAAAAACCATTTGAGGAGAGGGGCGCCTGGGTGGCTCAGTCGGTTAAGCATCATCACTTGATTTCGGCTCAGATCATGATCTCAGTGTTGTGAGAATGAGCCCCATGTACGGCTCTGTGCTGGGTGTGGAGCTCATTTAAGATTCTTTCTCTTCCCCTCCCCCCAAAGAGCCAAACCATTTGAGGAGAGGATAAGAGTCCTGGTTGTTGTCTGAAAATCTTCCAATGAGACCTCCTGGTAAGATCAGGAACATGCCAGCATTACATTTTACAAAATGGGTGTCGATAGCTTGAAAGTTTTTGAAAGTACTGGCGACAGAGAAACTTAAGAAATGCTGCATCATCATCAGTTCTCTCAAGGGTGCAGAGAACTCTGGAAAACCTCAGACATCTGCAGCTCTGTGCCAGAAAGTGATTCAAAAGATTTTTGGCTCAAAATGGGAAGATGTTTTAGAAATAGCTTAATTAATTTAAGTTACAGTTTCCCTTTTTATGTAACCAGAAAATGGTACATTTGTCTTTAAGAGCTCTTTAAAGAAATACAAAGTAAAAATTCTAAGTTGTGAAAAATAATGTGTTTAATTGACAGTGTGCTCTCTTAGTGGGGACATAAAATAGTGATTGATTCCTTTTGGAATTAATGCTGTCATAGGCATGGTGAAATTTTTTGTTCAACTTTTTTGTTGTTTTGTACCTTTTCTTTCAAGAATTAATAGTAATCCCAATTATCACAGCTAATTAAACTTAATTTGTTCATGACATAATTTCCTCATT